TCAATGAATATCTAGGGAAGTTCAAGAAGACGCGTTCAGGAGAAGATGGATGTCCAGTTTTTGAAAATAAGATGCAAATTAGAGTTTTGCTTCCCTGTAACTGGTCAGTTGGCATTTTCTAATAAATAACTCCGCAGCGAAGGACTTCCTTCGCGGCGGCCCAATCCATCTTCCGGCCGTATCCAGGGCCGCCTACGCCTGGCCCCTGAAGAGGGTCTTCAGCGCCGCCAACTTACTCCGGTCGGTTTCCATTTCAGCAGCCACCGCAGCCTCCTCAAAGCCCTCCAGGAAGGTTCGAACATCCCCATCCTCAAAGGGTTGCGGCTACGGGATCTTCATCCTTATCCTGGTCACGGCATGAAATGAAAGGAAGAAGGCCTTCGCTGCGGAGTTATTTATCCAGAAATGCCAACTGACCGGTTATAGGGAAGCAAAACTCTAATTTGCATCTTAGTTACAAAAACTGGACACCGATCTTCTTCCGAACGAGTCTTCTTGAACTTTCCTGGAGATTCATTGACTCCAATCATTCCTCGCTCAAATCCAAGCAAATGTTACAAAGCGACTCCACAAATTCCGCAACAGATCTCCCCTGTGCACGAGACGCAAAGCGAAATTCCACGAACAACACATACTACTCGCGTACCTCCCCATCAGTGGTATCACCGTTACACTGATAATAAATAAACTGACGGGTCCAATCACAGACAACTTTTCCACTGTGTGTTGCTTATTTGCGCCGTCGTTGTCATGTTTTGGGGCCGTTTGTTATGCAGTATCCAATTGGTTTACTGTTCACCTAAAGCAGTCGATTTCGCCCTCTCTGGCTGTGTTGTTGTCGTGTCTGCCAACGGAGTGAGCGTGTGTTTAGCGTGTTCAAAGCGGGCCGATCCGTTTCATCAAAACTATCCCTCGTTGAACACAGTTTGCTCGGATTCGCACGATGGGACTCGAGGTCCGTTGACGTTCCAAGTCTGACCTGCTTGAGAATGAGGAAGCTATAAAGATATTGATTCTTTGCTATGATGCTCACGCTTTGATTCGGATTGGATGGGAACCATCAGCAGCAATCAATAAGGACACATCGCACTTATAGTTAGGTTACTGTGGTGTTAGCAAGATGACCGATTCCTCCAGGCCAATCTGACATGACTGAGCATTTCGGAAAACACATCTTCTATCGCCTTCGCTATTTAGTGCAGCTCACTCCAGATCGAAGGGCAGAATTTGCTCTCCGCTTCGGTTATTTTTATACACTATTGTCGCTTAATACGGCTGAATTCTGTGGAAGGATAAACCGAATTCGTGAGAGTTTGATACAATCAGCACTACTTGGTATTTGTTTCACTGCGTCCCTATCTTTTTTCGCGGTCAGATGTGCACAACAAAGCAGTACAGAGAGAGAGAGAAACCAGCTGAGCAGCACTGTCATCCTCCGAAGGGATCTCATACCTCCATTCTGCTGGAGCTCACTCCTGTTCATGGAATCAAGATTCAGTTGACCAATTCAGACGGTCAATCGATGGACCGGGTTATAGAACCAAATAAATGCCATTACTTTCACTTGCTCAGGAACTGAAGTTGTTTTGCCACTGCGGCTTGGTAGACATTCACGGTTACCTGTCCCCAATCTGGGATTATGATTTCCCAATCACGTAACGGTCAGATGCATTCTCACTAGCAGTTTGCCGCCCCCCTCAGAACTAACACCAAAGGGTGAGCTGCTCAATAAGAGGCACCGTGCTGCCCTGGGTACTGTTTTCAGTATGTGGAGTTTCGGTTTTTTCGTGGAGACTTCGCCCTGTGAGAGGAGCCAATCTATGCTGAAAAGCCGACAAGCACTGTACAGCTGTTTCATCCTTATTGAGAATCAGTGCGCATCCCACGAAACTCCGGAGAGTCTTGAACCCGTGACCTCCCGGCTAGTAGTTTGAACACTCAACAGTTCGGTCGCGGGCGGCTATTCAGCAGTGTGATTAACTCGCACTCAGACAGCATATACCGCTGTTCATCCTTCCATCACGGGATCCACATCACGTGGTCACACGTGTTGACTGGCTGCTGAAGTAACGACTTCTAGGATGGAAGTTTCACCCATCGAGTGAAGTTTATTCTTCCACCGAGCTACTTATAATTTGTTGGTAGTGTGAGGAGAAACAGTGCTTCTCGGCTTTTCAGCATAGATTGGCTTCACTTAGAGGACGAAATGTCCTGGGTACTGTGTACCATACACAACTGACTTTATTCTTCTCGTGAACCGATACTTTTTCACACAACACCCCCAACTGTTCCTTTTCTCTCAGGCAAACGTGCAATTAATAAATACGATCTTCGTTGGGCCAAACAAATCGTGGGCACCATATACTCGTTGTGGTTCATGTTATTACCTACCTACCTGGCCTCGTTGCACATGTACGCATCGGAGCAGCAAAAGGCACAACCGAACGAACAGGAGGACCAGGACGAACCCATGATTACTCTGAACAACTGCCTATCAGAGGCAGTTCAGCTTGCCGCTCGCCTGACCAAGTACGACATGGTTGGACCGGATCAGGTAACTACCGACTTGTCCTTGTCTCCGGTCGTATTGATTTCCACAGCCTACTCACAGTTCGTGACGAGCTGGTCTGATTATGCCGTGATGAGTGCCTCTCCTTTGAACGCACGGCTACGATGTTGAAACCTGAGGTCCCAATGTGTTGTTCCAATTTTTGGTGTGTTTGTCCCTCGCTCCCTGGTGCTTCTCTCACATTGTCCATGTACTGTTCGTCAAAAAAAATGCGCGTAGGCCGTTTGCCATTGGTATGCCTGTTCAAGTAGGTTGCATACTTCCACAGGAAGTATGCAGGAAGTCCATTGAAGACTTTTTGGAATGTTGTCACGTCAAGAGCATAGTAGAATACATGGTATAATATAGTACATAGTATAGCAGAGTATATCCATCTCATCAATCATTCTGATTCGAGTTAGTGTGTGATTATGTACCGTGTCTTGTCGTGGATCCTTTCCGTTTCAGCCCATATCGCAGCGAAACACCTCACGTAAGGCATTGCGAAGCGTGAAAACCACACGTTTGGTGAACTCTAGCCAGCCTCACTGCCGGCTTCACTGCTCAGTCGGACACATGTCATTTTGAACGTTGCTTTTCCGGGATCATGTGCTTCCAGGTTATTTTCCGTGAGCATTCGTCTACTCTACCCATCCTTCTTTGGCTAGTCTGTAGCTAGTTCACTCGATCCCCTTTGAGAAACAGTTCAATCAGTTGCTGGTTCAGTACATCTGTACCGCGTGGAGATGCACATGACTACGTATCCACTCTACTTTCAAACACCCGTAAAGAGGAAAGTGCATTTAGTCCGCATTAGGAGAATGGGCGCCTGAACGATCGATCGAACAGTATGACGGACCCGCCGGGGGTGTTCCAATGCCCATAAATCAAAAGTACTGGCCAGCTGGCGTGACAAGTTCGCAGGAGGTCTTCACTTTAGCAGTCGGTTCTCCGTAAGAACGTGCAACCCGCTTTCCTGTGCATTCCAACAATCACATTCATTTTTTGACGAGCAGTTTAGTCTGTTGGCAAAAGTCCACTGTCTGTTATAAGCCCGTCGCGTCAGATGTTGGCGTTCATCATTCTCTTCAAGTGTCATAGTTGAAAATAGTGCACTGGCCCCTCGAAAGAAATACCCCCTTACATAGCCCGCAGCAATGTCCCACGTCAGCAACAAATTCACATTTGACCTCACAGAAGGAAAGGTCAAATGCTCCGTTTCATCCTTGTGAAGGTGGGTGTACCAGATACTGCGCTGGTTATGCTCAATCACGTGAATGAGGTAGGAAGCGGAAAATGGGGGAAAACACGTAAACGACCGTAGATCCAGGCATTCAGCATTTGGCTCAACGTCTATTCAGGTAATTAGTTGATCATGACCGGTTTAGTCTTGGATTGAGTACTGCTCAGTTTAGGTGTGCCTGTAGACGCGAAGAATGCTGTTCCGGGTGAATGATGAACCGTCCCTGTTGAGTCAATTATTCATTTGTCAGACCGCGTGCGAAAATTCGGGAGAAACATAAACAACCCGGCATTCTGATGGAATTTTCCAACCACGCCTACGTACGATTTATAACATCATTGTTTCTCAGTTTTGCAACCAAACGCACTCGTTGTCCCAACAATCGGTTACCTTCCTTCCGACTCCTTGGAGTATTCTGATTCACGTCTCAATGTTTACAAGAGAAGCCACTGTAAATGGTTGTGTTGTTGTTCTCTTTTGATTAAAATGATGGTAGAGTGCATAATTATTTGTCACGTGACTTGGAGCAACAGTCAGTGTTCTTGTTCGGTGCCGTTTCAGGAAGACGCATTTTTGCATGTTGGTCTCATCCTCATGCCATTTAAACTTACCATATTCGCCCATCTTGAAGCTGTTTGCGGCGATAACATCAAATAGTGTAGAATCTCCCTCATCGGTGGCCATGTCGCGTGTTATTGTCCACCTGTAGGCTTAATGAGACACTTCTAGTTGAGTCCAAATCACAGAATTTGCGGCCACGAGCTCAATTCATCTTGAGCATAAGACACTCAAGGTGTCCAGACGCTGAGCACACTAATTCTGGACCAGTTTCCTGTCGTCGGTGCATCCCTGTCAATAGGTACGTTTTTTTTGCATCTCACGCCACAAACCCCCACAAACTTATCGGTTTTCCCCGCTTCTCTCTGCGTGTTTGACCACTCAGGTAATGGAGCGTATCCTCCTCGTATTGATGCATGTTGGTCTCATCCTCATGCCATTTAAACTTACCATATTCGCCCATCTTGAAGCTGTTTGCGGCGATAACATCAAATAGTGTAGAATCTCCCTCATCGGTGGCCATGTCGCGTGTTATTGCCCACCTGTATGTCCAATGAGACACTTCTAGTTGAGTCCAAATCACAGAATTTACGGCCACGAGCTCAATTCATCCCGAGCTCCTCTGAATTACGTGTAGCATAAGACACTCAAGGTGTCCAAACGCTGAGCACACTAATTCTGGACCAGTTTCCTGTCGTCGGTGCATCCCTGTCAATAGGTACGTTTTTTTCGTATCTCACGCCACAAAACCCCACAAACTTATCGGTTTTCCCCGCTTCTCTCTGCGTGTTTGACCACTCAGGTAATGGAGCGTATCCTCCTCGTATTGATCTATCAAAACCGACCTCCAGACATCTCGATTCCGGACTTTTTGGAAGAGGTTGACTGGAATGATTCCTCTTTGGGATTGGTGAATCATGTAAGCGATTTCCTCTCCTCTTCGGTCTTGAAGACATATTTACATCTCGGTGAACTTTTCGGATTGACAGTCATGTATTTACGTCCGAATGTACATGTGTATATTCAACTTAGTTGCTGGGGTCTAGAACTACGTATCTAAGTCATGCGGATAGATTCACGATGGCTTGACGTAGTCGCGTTTGCGTTTTGTACTCGAGGATGCTTGAACTGCTGATCAGCATCTCTGTCACATCCACAAACCCGAGGAATGTGCGCCGTCGGCATTGTCCCTCCCCCCGTGAATCGATGGCTGCGTCAAGCGTAGGCGTATACCTGTGAACATCCGTGTGGAGATGAAAACGTGGATTGGATAACCGAACGACGTACCAAAGTGCCCCGCTTTCTGTGAGTCAGCCTCATGGCAGAACACTGCTTGAAAAATCTGGCTTAACTGTTCATCAAGAATAACTCCGTCTTCGCTAGAGGGATTGACTGGCAATAAACTGGAATTCAGCGAAAAGAAAGTTCCGTTGAAACAGAGTTCTGTTTGACTTCTCTAAAGGTGCACCCAAGTTCTTACAGGTTTTGATTTTAGCGAAGTATCTATTCTGGCCGGTCATCTGCGTACCATCTGCGAGCATATCCTTTACAGTTCAAGGAGAATCACCGGAGATTGTGGAAAACTTTACATACTTCGGTAGTTGTATTAGCTCTGACGGAAGTGTGTCTGATGAAGTCAATGCAAGAATCTCAAGGACTCGAATCACGTTTGCTAATTTGTGTCACTTGTGGCGTCAAAAAGGCATGTCGCTGGATCTCAAAGGTCCTATGTATCAGGCTACAGTAAGCAGCAAGCAGATAATGTAAAGCGTTTTCAGGTTTTCGACCACCGATGCCTCAGAAGCGTGGCCGGTTTTGGATGGCGTCAGCGTGTTTGTAACGAGGTGATTAGAAAACGGGCATTTGGCTATGTTGCAGGCACTTCAATCCAAGGAAACATCCAGCATCATCGACTACGATGGCTCGGTCATGTGATACGCATGCCGAAACACCGTCTACCGAGACGAGTGTTGTTCTCCGTGCCTCCTT